ATATGCTAAACTGTTGAATTTTGTTACCTTGGTAACATCTGGAAAGAACAACCAGCTCTAAAAATATTTTCTCCTTTATTATTTATATTTTATGGCAAAATTATAATCACAGCACTTTTGTTAAAGAATATTCTGACAGATGACAATTTTCATCTTCCATGAAAATGGTGTACATATTTACTACATAGGCATGATGATTACAGATTTAAGAAACATGTATGTTCAATATATGACTATAGTCAGAGTTAGAGTTATATTTATGTTAATTGTAGATTTGCTTTAAAATTTAATGCACCTTAAAGGGTATTTACACAATTAAGCAGGGGAATAATATTCTCTTTACAATTAACACTTTTTGTAGCTTTCTGAAAACAAATATGAAAATGTAAAATCAAGTAAATGTGGCGACTTTGATTTTACATATATATGTATATGTATGTCTTCTTTTAGATGATTTCATCGAAAAAAATTCTCTACATTTCATAGGAGAGACTGTTTTCATTTACTTTAATGCAAGGAATTTTACTTACATAAAGAATATGAGCTATATTTGCTTAGATAGTTTCTATACAAATTACTTCATTAATTTCATTTTCTATACATTTCTATACAAATTACTTCATTAATGCATTTCCAGAACTGCAGGTAATACTTTAGATAACTATGTTCGAAACTTATAAAATTTCTAGTTTTATAAGGTATGATTCTATGATTCAGTTTACCTTTGGCAAGATTTGCCCAGCTTTCTAGACTATCCCTTCTGATGTAGAATAACTTTAAATATACTTGAGGGAAGTGAAATCTGCAGTAGAATTGTGCCGTGAATGACCAAGTCTTTTGATTGTTTTACACGACTAGCTCCTTGGTATACAATGGGAATAACTTTATTTGAATTCTTTTGTTAAAAAACTTATAAGCTTGAGTCTCATAAATTTAGTGTTAGAAGCTGGATTTGGAAGCAATTTAATCCAAATCCTTCTTTTTGTGAGTAAGAAAACTTGTGATGTAGTGAGGAAGCATGGGATCAGATATGTTTGAATCCTGGCTCTATTTCTTTCTACCTGTATGAACTTATACCTACCCTCACAAGGCCTCAGTTTCCTTAACTAAAAAAATGAGAATACTATACTATAAATGATCCCAGTGTCCCTCCTAACTCTGAATTACATGACCTTAAATTAAGGAAAAGGTTTTCAAACTTTTTGGTCTCAGTTTAACCCTTACAATCTTAAATATTATTGAGTACCTCAAAGAGCTTTGGTTTACAAATTATATTTATTAAAATTTACCCTAACAAAACTTAAAACTAATTTAAAATTTTAGCAGCTCATTGAAAATGAACTAGAATAAACCATCATATTTCAACATCAATAAAATATTTTTGAAAATGTCTATATTTTCCAAAATAAAACATATTTATGAGAATAGGAGCATCATTTTACATTATTTTTGCAAGTCTTTTTAATATTTGGCTTAATAGAAGACAGCTGAATCTTGATATCTGCTTCTGCATTCAGCCTGTTATGATATATTATTTTAGATGAAGAGAACCAAACTCAGAGATGTAGTTGGAAAAAGGGAAGAGTGTTTTAATAGGCAACTAATGTTTCAGTATCATTAAGAAAATAATTTTGACTTCACAGACCCCCTGAAAGGCTCTTGGGGACCCTTGGGATTCTTCAGACCACACTTTGAGAACTTCTGAACCAAGGTATAAGCAAATTGAATGACTTTGCCCAAGGTCACCTAAAAAGTAAATAGCACAGCCAGCTATTACAACCCAGGTTCTATGACTCCAAAGTCAGTACTCTTTTCACTCATCATGCTTTGTCTCTAATTTAATTGACTGGAAAGTGACAATATTTCATTTAGCTCAATAAAAACAATGCCTACTGGAAGAGTATATATGTGAAGTTCACATTTTCAGGCAAACATTTCCATATGATTCCTTTTTTAGTCATAGTCTAAGGTTCTATTTTATTTTGTTTTGGCTTTTTTTTTAATCTGTAAAAAATCTATTTTTGTACATCATTTTTTGTAAATTTGTGAAATTTTAATAACTGGATTAAAATAAAATATTGATGCCCTTCCCCAGCATGACCCGTTGGGCTGAGGAGCAGATTCTTAAGATATGAGCATAACAAAGTCAATGAATTAAGAAGATTTAATTAGATTGTTACCTATGCAAATTTACTCACTATCAGTATATTTAAATAGATGCCAGTTGATTTTTAAAGCTTCATTTTAATGTTTTATCATAATATGAAAAGCCCTTATTTGCCTAGGTTATTTTTTATGTCCTGAAAATCTTTTCTTGTCCCCACTTTCCTTACCAATTATAGTTTTCTCTCCTATGTTTCATACTTAAATTTCTAAACGGGTTGACTGGTCAAACTGTCACTTATTCTTTGCCTAACCCCCATGGCAATCTGGCTGTAGTTCATATTATGCTGCTAAAGTTGCTTTCACATAATTCACCATCAATCTCCACTTAGCCAAATTCAGTCTATGTTACATTTAACGTAATTCAGTTTCCCATTGCTACCCTAATTAGACACGATCTCCTCCCTTGGTCAGTCTCACGGTTTTTCATTCTACACACTTTCTCTGCCTTTTTCACTGGCTCCTTTCTTCTCCAGCACTTTTATGAGCATCTATATTTATATGTAACCCTAGAGCTACTGCTCTCTTTCTTCTACAGGTTTTTTTCCATCAAATACCTTATGGACTTCCATGATTTGGCTACTTAGCTACGTACACATGACAATAAAATCTGTCTCTAGCCATGATTTTTCATTTATCTATGGTCTTCACATAGATGCCCCACTGTCATCTGAAATATCAAAATTCGAAACTTGATTTCATTGTCTTTTCTCCATCTCTGTAAATGGCATCACCATCTTGGAAGGTTTTATTATTATGACTACTAATAATAAGCATTATTATTATTATTATTATTCCATTGCTCAACATTCAGTGTCACGAAGTCCTGATCATCCTTGTGCTATAGTCATTACTCTTAATGTTTAGAAATATTTACAAAGTAGTAAAAAATAAAAGGTAGTATGAGAAGAATGGCACTAGTAGTTGGGAGATAGGAAAGCTTCATGCAGAAGCTAATACATGAGCTCTAGGAAGCAGAAGTAAGGAGGAAGTGCATTCCAAGCTTGTGGGATGGACAGTACAAAGACATGAGGATCAGAGATAAAATGTTGTGTATAAGAAAGAGAGAGAGAGAAAGCCATTTGGCTGGATAACATATTGTTGGAGGGGGAGTAATATGCAGTGAGGCTGGAAATATAGTTTGGGGTCATGGTTATGTAGGACTTTAAAAGCTAAAGAGAGAAGTTTATCTTTTATTTTAAAGGGAATAAGAAACTGCTGGAATAGATTGAGTAGGAGACTCACATGGTCAGATCTCTGCTTAAGGAAAATTATTTTGGCAGCAGTGAGTAGGATGGACTGGAGTGGGGAGAGACTGGAGTCAGAAAAACCAAAAAGGGAATTGTTGCAATAATATAAGTAAGAGGTGATTTAAGTCCTGAAATAAGGTGGTAGCTGTTGTGAGTGAAGAGAATGGGTCAGATGTAAGAGATGTTGTGAAAGCAGAAATGGTAAGATTTGGCAAGTGATTGGATAAGTGGAGTGAGGGAAAGTGAGGAGTCTAGAATAATGTAGAAATTACAAACCTGTGATGACTTGCACAGAAATATGTATGTTTGGAAGGAGGTTGGACTTGGGTAGAAGATTATGTGTTCTGCTTTGGACATGTTGAGTTTGAGATGTTTCTGAGGCATCCAGTTTAAAATGGCCAGCAGGCAACTGGTGGTATGCAATGGAAGCTCAATGGAGTTGGATGGATATAGATATTTAGGTCATCTGTCCCAAAAGGATAGTTAAACCCATTGGAGCCAATGAGGTTATTGAGAGAATGTGTGTAGAGGAAGAAGAGAAGAGCAAATCTTTGTGAGCTCTTAATAGAAAATGGAATTGGTAAGTCGAAAGGAACCTCAAAGACCACATAAACCAATTTCTTCCTTTTGCACATGAGAAAATTGAAACTCAGTTAAGTGACCTGGCCAAAGTCACAGAATTAGCTAGTGACAAACAACCTCAAATTCAGTCCTTTTGCCATTACCAGAGATTTGTGCTCCTTTGTTGTCTCCTCCCTAAACCACCTTATTTTTCTGATATTTTGCTAGCTATCAACATAATAACTGTTTCTAATCAAGCCACTCTCTCTTGTTATCTCATCCACATGTCTTATTAATTTTTCACTGCCTGGACTTTGTGAAGTATTTTTCTCACTTGTCATGCCCGTACCTATTCATCACTCAACATCCATTACTACCTAAGCCAAGACTCACATTCTCCAAAAAGTGCCATGTCTTTCCATCCTCTGTATTCTGTACTCTTGTATCTGTCCCTGGAATCCTCTCCACCCCAACTCTGAATTTATCCTACCTTATGAAATCTTTAGATGCTACTGCCTTTATGAATACTTTCTAGATTGTCCCAAGTCTAAGTGATTTCTCTTTTGGAATTTTCCCTGCTACATCAGTAGACAGCTAGCTGGTGAAGAGTAACAGATCTAGAAGCAGAAGTCCTGGGTTCAAATCCAGCTCAGTGTGTATCTACGAATAAATCAATTGAGCTCTATATTTACCTCAGTTTCTTCGTCTATAAAATGAGGATAATTATAACACTCACATGCCAGGGTGATTGTGAAGATAAAATGAGATAACATTTGTTTAAAGAAAAAACAATAACAACAACATTTCACAAACCATAAAGTGTTACATAAATGCAAGCTATTTGTTGCATTATAAGCTATTCGAAGGCAAGGGCTATGTCATTCAGCATTGCAGTCCACTGCATGGCACAAAGCAGGTAGATAATAACTCTGACATTGTAGAGTATAATATTGTTATTTTCATAATGTATTAATTTAGTTTTGTTCAGAGAGACTGATGGTCACACCATCATTTATTTTTCAACAGATGATTCAGCTGCAGAGAGTCTTAATGGCAATGAGACTGTGGGGCCTAGTTCCATTGCTTCGGGGGGAGTACACTGCAGGGAGATGGCAGACACAAACAGCAATGGCAAAACAAATCTGGAGCAAGATGAGCAACCTCTGAACCTGAGTGACAGTCCCCTCTCTGCCCAGCTGACTTCAGAATACAGAATAGAAGATCACAGCAGCCATGCGAAAAACAAATATAAGAATCTGCTAATTTCTGACATCAAGATGGAACGGGAGGCAAGAGAAAATGGAAGCAAGGTAAAATGATTTCATAATTACCACACAATATGTGTAATATGTTAAAAAATTATAAATCAAGATGAAAAGTAATGTGCCACAAAAAATGGGCAGAATTACTGCTCAGGCAAAACTTTTCAGGTAGCTACTGGAGTTTGCTGATTTTTTTTTTCATTAGTAGAACCCTTTCTAACATATGGGAATTCATTGGGTTGGAGGTGTGGGATTGGTATATTCTTGCCAATTTCCACTTTTATAAATACGCACACATGTGTGTATGTGTGTGTGTGTGTGTATACAATATAAATAAATGAAATATGTATATACATATGTGTGTATATACATATATATTTCTAATAAGATCACTGTTTGGTTTCTCCCAAATTATTTGTGTGTAAATAAAAATTTAGAAACTAGAAGTCCTAGAAAACTTTATTCAGTAATTTCCACTAGGGAAACAAAAAGGAAAATGATTCTGTTGTACATGAAAATGAAGCTTGCAGGTTAGAAAAAATCAATTAGCCTGATGAAAATCATTTTTCAAGGTTAAGTATTGTTGAAAAAGGTGGAAAGGTTCTATTTATGGATATTTTCATTACCTTATTTATGTATTAATTAATTTCCAAATGCTTAACAACTATAACAAGAATTGAAATTTGGCAGTGATTTTGTACATCTCACTCTACTGATTTAACTTAACACTCCTGCTCTAATTTGCAACATGATAAATTTTCTTGATGAATGCAAGTTTTTAGTAGTGAGACTTCTGAATTGTTTCTCAGTTTGAAATAGATTTTTACATGTCAGTTTAATATCTTACACTGGATTTACTCTAGGCTCTGTCAGTGCATCCTGAATTCTTAGTCAAAATTGTCTCCTCACTTGCATTAGGGCATTTGTTTTATCCCTTTGTAAGCCATTCACCCATACACCATCAAAATGCCTGAGGTTCACACCTATTAGTTACTTTAGTAAATACTCAAATATCCTTTATGGAAGAAGTCTTAAGGTAGAGACATATCAAATAAACTGGTTAAATTCTCTAACATCTCTAACATGATCTGAATCATACTGTTATCTTTGGGCATACTAAGACAATTTAACTGATTTAAAGTTGTCATTGAAATGAAAATGTCTTCTTTCAATTTAATGAAGAAAAAAATATATGCACAAACAGATATGTGTGTATATGTATTTATGTGTATGCATGCATATTGTATATATTACACACACACACATTCATGTGTGTGTGTGTGTGTGTGTGTGTAACAGACCATCCTGGCCCCCACTGCCTGAAGATCGGGTATGGTATATTTTTACTTCTCCCCAGAGTTCTCTATTATCTCAAGGAGATTTGCCCCTCCTGCCAGTGTCTAGGCTCTCTACAAATGGCTCCTGCCCCCACTAATATTGTTCTCTCAGTTGTAAGGAGTGATCCCTTGCACCCTAGTTCCATTAGCCCTTATAGTCAGATTAACTTTTACAAAGGAATATTTCCTTCAAAAGCCATAATCACAAATATTATAAACTTGCTTCCCCAACATGTTGGAGACATGATCCTCCCTCTCATCTTTGGCCCACCTAAGTTTCTGGGGAGTGGAAGGGGATTAGGTTCATAGTTTAGCTTGGTTCTTATGGAGCACAGTCCCATTTCCAAGTCTAAAATCCACCTTGGATTCAAGTCTCAGCCCCTCCTGGCTTCTCAGGGCTTCCATGATGGGCTGACTGACTTTACTATCTTGCCTTCAATCTTGGCTCCACAGTCAGCATGTCTTAAATCCTGAGTCTGTGGGGATCACCTCCAGCACCTGAAACTGAAGAGTCCAAGCAACACAAAACAGAATAAACACCTCAGGCCTATTTCTTGGAGTGTGGGTGAAAAAGAGGGAGCCGGAGAGGGAAGTTCCTTCTCTGTCACCAGTTCAGTTTATGGTGCCCATGCTGCAGGTGAACTGTAATCTTCACCCTCTCCACGGAGTAGATAAGAGTGGACAAAAAAGAGCAGCAGAAAGAATGGTCAAAAAGAGAGAGGACAGCTGGCTCAGTCTCACCAGTTTTAAAGACACAGGGAGCCAATCAAAGGAGGCTACCCTCACCTACTCCACATGTGAGGAGATGCAGTGGCCTCCATGTTAGGCAATCTGAACATTCTTCAAAGGCTCTTTAAGGACACTTCCACGTTAGGCAAGTTTGGGTAGGTCCAGACAGCCTGGATTACATACATACACATGAATACTTACATAAATATACACATGTGTATATATTTATACATGTATATATATATAGCATTTATATATGTATGTACATATTTATTGTTATTCAGTCATATCCAACTCTTCATGGGGTTTTCTTGGCAGAGATACTAGAATGGTTTGCCACTTCCTTCTCTAGCTCATTTTACAAATGAGGAAACTGAGGCAAATGGGGTTAAGTGTCTTGCCCAAGGTCACATTGCTAATAAGTGTCTTGAGGCCAGATCTGAACTCACAAAGATGAGCCTTCTCAACTCCAGGCACCTGGAATCAGGAGCTGCCTCTGCACCACCTAGCTGCCCTGTAAGTGTGTGTCATATACATACACACACACACACACACACACACACACACACACACACACACACATACACACACACATATGTCTATATGGATAAGGACTAGACTGGTTATTTCATTGGCATAAAGAATTCTAGGTAAGGAGATTCCCTTTAATACTGCAGGTTGACACATCCTCTGTAACTTATTACTTCTTGTCTTAGTTACCTAAAGCACGGAGAGGTTAAGAAAGTGATTTGTCCAGGCAGGGCCTCACAAACAGTATGTCTCAGAGGCAGGACTTGAATGGAAGATTCTCTGTCTACTACCCTGTGTTCTTTTTCTCTCTGTCTCATTGTCTCTCTCTGTCTCTGTGCCTCTGTCTGTCTGTCTCTGTCTTACTCTCTCTCTCTTTGTCTGTCTGTCTCTCTCTTCCCTACTTTGTCCTCTTTATTTTCCATTTCACTACTTTTTCTAGTCCAGGTATAGATGAAAGAGAGGGAGAAGGGAGGGAGGGAGGAAAGTTGGTTAATTATAAGGTTTAAATTCACTTCGGTAGAAAATTGGAATGAGGAAGCAGCTTTTGGACAATACCTGAATTTCACTCTCAGACCTGGGGATATAGAAAATTTTGGCTTTATGTATCCCAAAGATATCAATAAAAATAACTTTTTCATACTTCTTCTTGATAACCTTGGGAAATAACTGGGACTTAGCTGTTCCCTTTTATCTTCTTCAATTTGACACAGAGGTGGAAAACTTACTTCTCTAATGCTTACAGCTTTCTATCTTTGTAACTCTCTGGCTGAGTTGTTGTGATGTACTCTGAAATTGGAGCTGCCCTTACATTCTCCAAGCTCTCAACTTGATCTGCTATAGACAAGAGTGATCTGCTTTCATATAAATGAGGCTCATTTCCAAATCAAAAACTCGAGTTGGGCTTCTGTTCACTTTGATATAAAATTTTGAGATTTTAATCGTAATCTATAATCCTCTTTATGGTATAAATCTTCAGGGCCATGAGTAATTCCTCTCTCTGTATATTCCATTCTTTCACCATGGCAGAACATTCCTGCCATCTTTTCCTATGTAGTGGGAAATACAGTGTGTGTGTGTGTGTGTGTGTGTGAGTGTGTGTGTGTGTGTGTGTGTGAGTGTGTGTGTGTGTGTGTGTATGTATATATGTGTGTATAGCCATTCATTCATTCTTTCATTTACATAGAAAACATGTATTAAGCACATAACTTAACTGTGTAGGCATAAAACTAAACCCAGTAAGAAAAGCTATAAACAAACGTGTGATGGTATGATGCAGAACCAAAGATGACAAAAGTCAAAGTTGACATAAGGTTGGTAAGGAATAGCTTCATCAAGGTAGGCTTGATTTGAGCTGTGAATGAAATGTAGGATTTGGGTTTTTCAGAGCAAGACTGAATGGAAGACATTTAAGATCGAAATAACAGGATGAGGGAGTGTGAGAGACAGGAAAAAGCATCAGCATCGTATATTAGGAGAAATGTAAGAAGACTGATGTGGTTGAAGCAAGAAACTATGTGAAGTGCTAGCAAGATGATGTTAGGGAAAATAACATAAGACCAGTTGATAGAAAATCTAGGATTCCAGTAGCTTGGACAGGGTTCTGATGGACAAAAAGGAGCCCTAGCAAGTTTTTTAGCAGGTGGTAAGGTAAAGAAAATGATGTTTTAGGAAGATGATGAGTCTTGGCATTGTGTTACCAGATAGACTGGAGCAGGGAGCCAGCCAGAGGGCTATGAAACAATTGAAGTGTAAGGTGTTGAGTTAGGGGCTGAGAGAGTGAAATGACTGAAAGGAAAAGCCATGGCAAAGGAAGGTGTGGATGAACTAGAAATTGATTTATTTGGAGCTGGGGAATTGGATTTAGAGAGAGGTATCAGTCAAACATAAGTTCAAGGTTATAAATCTGAGAGATGGTGGTAATATTGATTGCATTCAATATTGGTCCCATAGAAAATTTTGAAGGAGACAGATTTGTCTTTGAAGCTTTAAAATTGCTTCTTTTACATTTTGAACTTGTCCCCTGCCTAAAGGGCTTCAGGGATCCTTAAAACTAAGAATCTGGCCTGTGTTTGCCCGAAGGCCAGAAGGTAAACTCCGCTAAGTCCCTGGACCATAGAACAACTCCATCAGTTAATGTTGCAGTGTTTGAACATCTACAACTCTTAGAAATGTCTTCCAAGATAATGCTATCCAAACTTTATATGGTGAAAACACCCTCACCTCTTTTTCTCCCCTACAAAAAAGTCTTGTCCCCCATGCTTTGCCTAGACTGATAATTTTCTTAGCTGACAAAACACACTTCTGACACCCCCTAAGTGTGTGACCCTGGGCAAAGCCACTGTCTAAGACAAGACAATAAACTGTGTAGGAGGGGGCAACCTACATTTCTATAGAGCATTTCCTCACCTGGGAGTTCCTCATATCAGTGAAGTCACAGGTCCAGTCCCTAGT